TTCTGAATAGTACAGCTGAAAGGTACATGATAAAATTAATTTAGTGTCTAACTTGATATTTTGATTTATATATACTCAGGCATTATCAGTGCTGCAACATTCACTGATGTCTTTCAAGCAACCAAGAATCAAGTGCATGTTAAAATTTTACTTCTTATATTCTTTGCAATTCTTGGCCACAGAGGTAAGATTTCAGCCTAATTTTACTAAATTATGGTAAATATCTCTAGTATACTAAAATATCCTCTATTGATGAGTTACTTAATACTTTAGAGGCCCAGGGATTTAAGGTTAACACATTAAAATTTGTTTTACAGGGATACTTGAGTCAAGAATGTATTCCCATAGGATATTCCGGACTTGTGTCCCATTTGCACTACCATGAACCTGCAAATTTTGTCCTAGTTAGCTTCCTGGTAAATGGTTTATTTCATAAGTTGTGCACTCCAATGAAAACAGATGGTAAGCAATTTTTTTCCAGCAGCTCTTGAACTATCTCCTCTATGGATTGTGTGATTCTTCTTGTTCCAGAATGCCAATAATTCTTAAGTTATTCCTCATCATGTTGTCAAATATGAATATTAGACCTTCTTCAGATTTTTTAATCCAGCTCACTAGTTCTGTCTTCTATCTCTGCAATTCTACTCCTTTGCCATTTCAGTGTATTGTCCATTTCTGATATTCTATTATTAATTGTTTTAACCTCTTTTTAAATTATTTCCAAAACTGTATCAATCTTATTTGATTGTTTCTGTAACACTTCGCTGACTTCTTCCTTATTTTTCTCATCTCCATTGTAAAGTGTTTTGATACATTTTACAATTATTTTTCTGAATTCCTTCTCAGGCATTTCCAAAGCCTATTCTTCTTCCCAGTATGGAAGAATCATTTGTCTCAGTCATTTTATCTTGTTTCTGGACATGTGCTGATATGGTCATCTGTTTCTTGAGCATATTTGGTAGTTAACTGTGGCCTTAATACTTAAATGAGTGTGTGTTTTGGTTTTTTTTTTTTTTTTTTTTTATGGCGTCTGATTGCCTCCAGGTAGATATGATCAGGAGATGGGCTTCCCTTTTCGCTCTTCTTACTACTCAACTCAGAGTAACTGTCACAGGTGTTGGCTGCCTACCTGGTGTATAAAAGCTGGTATTGGTTCTTGCCTAGATTGTGGGATTTTATAGGGTATGATTGCAGCTTGTCTGTATGACCAAAGATGCTGTCTCTTCTGGCCTTTTTCCTAATGATAATCAGTGCAGGTCCAGCTGTGGCCATTTGCTCTGCCATTTGGTTTTAAGTAGACACTGTCCCTTTAAATTTTGAGGAGATCTGTGTGTAGTAGAATCCTCTGGGTGTGTGTGGGGTTTGTACACTAGCTTAGTTACCCCCTCTAGTTTTCAGAATGGAGGTATGCAGACAGCAAGAGACCAATGAGCAGATACACACACACACACACACACACACACACAGAATGCCTACACCTTTATCTCTGAGGTTTCATTAGACATCAGTCCATGGCAGCTCTGATCCTTTCCCCACTTGCCCAAGATGGCAGCTCTAGGAGCTGCTGAACCCCATGGATTCAAAAATAAGAGATTTCTTGCTTCTGCTACAAATTCCTCTGGCTATAAGCCTTCAAACTTTTAAAATATTCCTATATATGTGGTTCAGAGTTCTGGAACTGTCCCCTGAACCTGCTTCATCTGGTATTCTGTGTTATTGCTGATGGAGATCCTCACTGCACTTCTACCCTAACTGCCATCAAGCCCTCCCTCTTTCAACTGTCTTTTATCTTGAAATTTTAAATTGAGTTATTAAGAATTGGCTCAACATATTTTTTAAATGATGAATTTTGTGCTCTAAAGTTTTGAAAATTAAACTCTTTTTTTTTTAACAGGTCCAAAGACATTTTCTGAAGATGTGATGGAGACCTTAGTGGTAGTGTTAGCACATCTATTTGGAAGAAATTATATGCCTCCCTCTATGCAAAAGTATAAGAAGGCATTTTCTCATTCAGTGGTAAGACAAGCAATAATACCACAACCTGTAATTTGTTGTAAATTTTTTTTAGTATGACATGAAATACAATAGTATTTTGTCTACCATGGTTATACTGTAATCCAGTAGAACTTCTTCTTACCTCAGTTAATTTTGTGTGGATGGGTTCCACATTCATTGATTCAACCAACCAGTGGATTGAAAATATTTGAAGTAAAGAAAAAAACACTATTAGGTGATCAAAGTTATCCCTCAAATGCTATGAGGGGGCAGAAAGTGCTATTTACATAGCATTTGCATTGTATTTGACATTAAAAGTAGTAAAAATGATTTAAAGTATATGAGAGGATTATGTGGATTATATGCTAACACTGCACCATTTTATGTAAGGGACTTGAGCATCCATGGATTTTTGCATGAGGGGGGAATTCTATAAACAATCATCTATGAATACTGAGGGATATATATAGATAGATAGATAGATAGATAGATAGATAGATAGATAGATATAGATAGATATATATATAAGCTCTGGTAGCGTAGTGGTTACGAATCGGGCTGCGAACCTTAAGGTTAGCAGTTTGAAACTACCAGCCGCTTCGCGGAAGAAAGATGAGGCTTTCTACTCCCGTCAAGATTTACAGCCTTGGAAACCCTGTACAGGGTCGCTATGGGTCACAATCGACTCAATGGCACTTAACAACAACAACAATATATATATATACAATGACTTTTCAGATGATGAAAAGTCTGAGGTCTTGCTTTAAAATGCAAAGTCTTTTGTACTTATTTCACTGTTTCATGTATTTCACTTATTTCATATTTTCTACGTTCATCCATGTTGTAGCATGTATCATAACTTCATTTCTCTTAATGAGTGAGTAAGAGTTCTGGTGTGGCACTGTGGATTAATGCGACTGCAAGGTCAGTTTAATCTGCAAGATCAGTGGTTCAAGCTTACCAGTCACTCCTCGGAAACTCTATTCAGGGTCGCTATGAGTTGGAACTGACTCCATGGCACTTAACAACAACAGTATTCCCCATTAATTTATAGATATCAACATAAAAAGTTCAGATCATTTAGAAATGAGATAAAGCAGAAGAGTTAAGGGGTAAAAATCATATTCCTGTTAAAGATTCTTAGTAATCTAGTAATATAATATTTTTTAATTATGTTGAAGATGATAGCAAACAGCATTGCAATAAATGGGAAATAATAGTTATGGTTGCATTTATATATGAAACAAGAAGACATAATTTTTCAGTTTAAGAACAATTTAGAAGTATTGATCAGGGCATTCAATGGTTGCCAGAGGACAAGAAATGACATTGTGATAGAACTATTAGAAAGGTAAGTGTAGTGAACTGAGTAGTTACCACAGCTCAATGCCAGTTCTTAGGCTCTATCCCAACTCTGCCACTTAGCAAATAGGCAGTTTTCCATTGCTGTCAATTCTGACTCATAATAATCCTGTAGGGCATAACATTTACCAGGCTGCAATCTTTCTGGAAGTAGACTGCAAATCATTTCATCCAGGTCTGTTTTCTGACTTGTAAACAGAGAATCATGATAGTATCTTCTTTGAAGGGTTAATGTGAAGATGAAGTGAAATAATATATGCAAAGCATTATAAAAGTACTTGGCACATAGGAAACATTCAATACATGTTAGCCCTTATTTATACTTGAAATAACTGGTTACTGGAAAAGCCAAGATCATCAAGAGAAAAATGATTAAAATTAATATGAGCTTAGTAAATTTAAAATGAAAAATAGATCTAATACAATATATTGCATTTCTGACACTATAAGAAAATAAAATGTCAAATAAATGCACCTATACTAAAAGATGAAAATATATATACTATACATTTCAATGGTCAATTACAATTGGCAGTTACATTGATAGAACTATATAAAGATATGTCCCTTAAACATATTCTTTACTGTTTTATTTTTCCTTATAGGGATTTATACTAAAGATATAATTAAAACTATAAACAAAAATGTCATAAACATATTTTAATACCCTAGTTACTTCTAATTGAAAGTTGGAATCTATTTCCATATTAACAATAGGGGAATGATTATATAAACTAGAAGATATAGCATATAAGATTATATTACATATAATATGTATGTATATGGCAATATTATACAACAACTAAGATTTGACTTTTCAAAAAATATTCTATGACATGAGGAAATATGCCAAATATAATATTGAGCATAAACATTAGACCATTAAGGTGAGATTTGTTGTTGCTGTTGGTTGCCGTCGCATTGGTTCCAACTCACATCAACTCTATTGGGTTTTCAAGGGTGATTGGTGGGGTTGAAGCATTAGACTGCTCACCACTGCTGACCTTGTGGTGACCAGTCTAATGCTTATTCTAAAACGAGATACTATAGCATAAATTTGCATATAAAAAGCTGGAAGGAATTACTATATACACAATTCTTTATTATTGATATCTCTGAGTGATGGGATTTGAAATGAATTTTAGTTTTTATTTTTACATTGTAATCTAAATAGTAGAAAACATATTTAGAAATCTATCCCCATCCTGACATTTAAAGTACTTTGTATCTGGTGTCTCAGAAACCCAAGTAATCCTGTGCTTTCATCCTTTTCATTGTTTCTAGGTGATTCTAGATGATCTTCCCAAGGACTTTGCTACAGCAGTAGAGGAACACAACAACAAAATCCATAGGAATTTTGGTTCTTTCCTCCTAACAGTTTCTAAGTTGGCAGACATGAAAAAAGAATACCAATTACCTCTCTCAGAAATTGGTAAGATTTTTGATATACATGAAGATAATGGAAAATCAATTTTAAAAAAGTAGACATAATTTTTTTTTAGTTAAAATTAATTTTCAAAAAAATAAGAGCAAAGAAATTGCAAACATTAATATATGATCTCCTCACTTACCAACTATCCTAAGCCATGTTTTCTAGAGAAGCAAAACCAGTGAAACATATATATGTATAATATATATGTGCTGTGGAGTTGGTTACAATTCATAGTGACCCTGTATAGGATTTCTGAAACTGTAAATCTTTACAAGAGCAGAAAGCCTCCTCTCTCTCTCTCTATATATATATATATATAGTCTCGGAAGCCCTTTACAGGGTTGCTATGGGTCAGACTTGACTTGACAGCACTTAACAACAACAATATGATATATACATATATATATGTTATATACACATATATATGTTATATACACATATATATGTTATATACACATATATATGTATATTTATGCATATATATATATATATGAGTCCTGGTATAGTGCTATGGGTTAATGCACCAGACTGCAAAGCCATTTGAACTGTAAGGTCAGTGGTTCAAGCTCACCAGCTGCTCCTAGGAAACTCTATACAGGGTCACTATGGGTTGGAATTAACTCTATGGGCACTTAACAACAACTACAGATAGATAGATAGATAGATAGATAGATAGATAGATAGATAGATAGATAGATAGATAGATAGATAGATAGATAAAGACAGTAGTTTATTATCAAGTAAATGGCTTTCAGTTACAGAGACCCAGATCCCCAGTGGAATAGAAACAAAGAGTCCCTTCCACATGTCCATTGTAATCAAGCCATGCCTCCAAGGAAGGATCCCTTCCCTTCAATTGATTGGCTACCCATAACCACTCATCATAGAGTTAACTATGCCTGTATTAGGTTTCATCAATAAACACACCATACCTGCAAAACCACTGGAAACCCTAACCTAGTCAAGTTGACACACAACCCTAACCATTACAGGCCATCCTTATCAACTTGAAATCTATAAACTATATGCATAGTATCAAATTAAGAAAGTTGTAAAATTATACTTGCACCTCACTTGATATAACTAAAACGTTTAAAGCCAAGAATCACTGACTCCATTTATATCTTATATTTCACAAATGAAAAAGCAATAATATTTGATAAACACATGCAAAACAAAACAAAAATACATACATTCATTTAAATGTCCAAAGGGCACATTCTGCAATCCTGCCTCCTTCTCATAGGCATACAGCCTTACTCAGTCCATGAGGCTAGAGACCATAGCTGCTCTCTTTCCATGCCATCACTTCTGCTACCATTTATACTGTACCCGTTTTTCTGGTTAGGGATCCCACCCTCCACTGATACTCTTCCCTAATGATGGTCTTTTCCTGAAATGAAAGATAACTACTCATCACGTTTAGTTACAGATCTTCTACAATTAGGGTTTTGACAATCACAATTAATCCTACTAGCAATTAATCACAATTAAAATAATAAAATTATATCTGCATCACTCCCCACCCCATTTCACTAGAGGCATCTGGAAAAGAGGAAAACTAGTCAGTGGAGGTTCTCCTTTGTTCCCTCATTCTAAAACAAATCACAACTACGAAAGTTTGTAAGTCAGCCACTTCATGCTGCTATAGCTCCCATTTTCAATAGCCAATGTCTAAATTGCCCATCCTATCATGTTGGTGAGGTGCTGTGGATTAATGTGCTGAACTGCAAAGTAGGTTTGAACTGCAAGGCTGTGGTTCAAGCTCACCAGTCACTCCTTGGGAACTCTGTACAAGGTCACTATGGGTCAGAACTGACTCAATGGCATTTAATAACAACATCAAACCAGTACACTGATGAGACAAGCATTGTTTCTTGATACAAAGAATCTTCCATTCTGATTGGAATTTTGAGTAACTGCATTTTTAAGCAAAGTCCAGTTCATCCAATTGTAGCAATGGACACTTGCTCACAATATCAAATATGTTTAACTTCATCTGGTTAGGTTTTGGTCAACTTAGCAGTAGCCATCAAAGCTAGGTCAAATGTGTGCCAGCTACAGGTTTGGGAATTCACACATACCTCTCTGCACTTCAGATCAGCCAGGCCACTTCATTCTCAGCCATTTCCCACATGGGCTAGGTCACTGCCTGTGGATTCAGGAGTTCACACAACTCCTAAACTTCAGACCAGGCAGCCTTTCTCTTATCTCATCTTAAGGTCAACAGGTGTCAAAATAGCATGCCCCAACTCAGCCCATGTCTTTAATGCTGCATTTCCCCAAATTCCACTCACACATAGACCTAGGTAGTCACCAGTGAGCATATGGCATGACAGTTTCCTTTAACTTTTACTCCTAAAAGAGAGTTTTCTCTGATGGGCCAACTTTCCTTGCCTTGATGCCTCTGAAATTTGAAATTCAAAATGCCAAACTGTCTACTTTTTTTCTATGCATGAATCTCCTGTTCTTCCAGCCTTTCTTGGTTGGTCTGCATGTCTTTTCAAATGCAAATGTGCCAACTCTGAAGCTTGTGGATGGGGCTCCGGATTCCACCAAAGGTTCCATACTTTACAAATGCTTAAAGCAAGCAGCCTATTTTTCCAGGCAAGTTCTAACTACCCTTTTAACAAATCCAAGTATAGGGTGAGGCTTACAAGCTCTCTGTAATCATAATTTCCAATAGTCATTTTCATCACCCATATATGTTCAGTTTACAATAATAGGCAGGATAAACCAATATCCATAAGGCAGTCAAACACATAAACCTTTTAAAACACTCAAGTTCAATCTTTTCTTCTCCATTGGACTAACCCCATTCATCTGTATATGGATTTGGGCCTCTTCCAGGGTGGATTCCAAAAGGCCCAGGACCTGAATCAGCCATCCTTTTTAACAAGAATGTCCAGAAGCTGAGGCTTTCCCCTCAGCCTAAACATTTTATCCAATCCCCCTTTAATTATTTGTCTTATAAAAGCTTGTTACTTCATAGGTCTGGAGCCATTGCAATGAATCCCGCTCACTCTTACATGGAGCCATGTCTAACTTCCTCTGACTCCACAGGAGGAAAAGAGAACCAAACTCAAAATCAGCCCAAAGATGAATCCTATGTACTAGAGGTCAGACATGCCTCCACCCTATATCAGTGCCTTTAAAATTAGTCAGACTTGAGAACCAATTTAGAAAACTCATCCTGTGATTTTGTTTCTCCAGAACACCATTGTCATGGTACCACATGTTTTGGGCTGGATTTTCTAGAGAAGCAAATCCAGTGAAATATATATATATATATATATATATCAAGGAAATGGCTTACAAATGCATAGTCCCAGGTCCTCTCCCATTATATTGGGAGGAGGCCACAACTACAAGGAAATGTCCCTTCAATTGATTGACTACTAGTAGTCATTCATCATAGAGTTAACCATGTCTGTATTAGGTTTTGTCAACATGAGAGACAACACATTGTAAATGCAAAATTTCTGGAAATCCCAGACTAGTCAAGTTGATACAGAACTCTAACCATTACATCAACTATCTGACTATTTTGTTATCTGATATTTCATATTTGTAAAAAAAAAAAAAAGAAAAATCTACTACCTAATTATTTTGCTGATTAATAACACATTTCTGGTAGTAAATATTGCCCAGGTGTGAGACAAAAGTAATGTAGACTTTGATAGTTAAGTTGTCTGGGCAATGTTTATAAGAGGTTTGGCAGATATTCAGTGATGTAATTTGGCAATTATTTAAAGATGTAGCTTGGCAGTTATAAAATTATGTAGTCATCTACTATGTTTTGATCTGTTTTCATATAATGACCTGACGATTGGTCCTAACTATTATACTAATGAAGAATGGGTATACTATAGAAATTAATATAATCATTCAGATCTGTGCTGTGGAAATTTTATAATGGAAAATGTGTTATATTATGTAAAACTAGCAGATGATACAACCTTGCTTGCTGAAAGTGAAGAGGACTTAAACATTTACTAATAAAGATCAAATAGCACAGTCTTCAGTATGGATTACATCTCAATGTGAAGAAAACAAAAATCCTCACCACTGGACCAAGAAACAGCATTCTTATCAATGGAGAAAAATTGAAGTTGTCAAGGACTTCATTCTTCTTGGATCAACTATCAACACTCACAGAAGCTGCAGTCAAGAAATCAAATGACATGCTGCATTAGGCAAATCTGCTGCACAAGACCTTTTTAAAGTTTTGAAGAGCAAAGATGTCAGCTTGAGGACTAAGGTGCTCCTGACCCAAACTATAGTATTTTCAATAATCTCATATGCATGTGAAAGGTGGACAGTAAATAAGGAAGACCATAGAAGAACTGATGCATTTGAGTTATGGTGTTAGAGGAGAATATTGAAAGTGCCATGGGCTGCCAAAAGAACCAATAGATCCATTTTGGAAGAAGTGCATCCAGAGTGCTCCTAGGAGGCCAAGATGGCCTAACTTCGTGTTTCATACTTTGGACATATTGTCAGGAGGGACCAGTCACTGGAGAAGGATATCATGTTTGGTAAGGTGGAGGGTCAGAGAAAAAAAGGAAAACCCCCAACAAGATGGAGTGATCAAGTGGCAGCATCGATGGACTCAAGCGTGGCAATAGTAATAATGTTGGCCCAGGATGGAGCAGTGCTTTGTTCTGCTGTACATAAAGTAGCTGTGCATTGGTACTGACTCGATTGCACCTAACAACAACAACCACAACAAAACTAGCTAAATCGTCATGATTTGCTTTGATTCTGGATGTTTGAATAATTTATATATTTTTTAGTTTCTTTTCACTCTTAACTAGTTCTACTTTTGATGCTAGGTAAATTTGAAAATATAGAAAAAAGAATAATGGAATACTGTTTACGAGTAAACAATATGTTGTATTTCCTTGAGTTCTATGGAAGATTACAAAGACATTTTTAAGACATTTTATATATCTTGCAGGATTGGACAGAGTAAACTACAAAGAAAAATTACAAATAGGTAAAGAAAATTCAGTTAACTCTATCAAGTAAAATAAAGGCCCTAGAAGTAGAGAATACGGTAAGTGCCCCAAGGTGAAAAGAAGGAAGGAAAGAGAGAATTAAAAGGAAAATATGAAGGTGACAGAATGCTTTTTTTTCCTTGCTTCTAATACAGTAAGAACAGTTCTAGTGTGGTGCTGTAGGATACACTAGCCTACTAACCACAAGGTCATACCCATCCATCACTCCTTGTAAATCCTGTACGTGGTTGCTATGAGTTGGAACTGACTTGAAGACACTTAACAACAGTTCAATAGGAAGAAACAATGGAGCAATAAGAGCTGCTTGTATGTTTTTGTTTATTCGTATTTTGGGATGGATTATTATACACTTAATCCTTACTTATTGACATGGTTAGGTCCAAAGACCAGGTTGTATGCAAAATTTGGTGATATGCAAGTGTCTTTTGGGAGAGTCTCAATGTTGGTACCCTGGAACATCTTAGGATACACATCGTGTGGTGAATCTTCCTTTCCCAACATACGTTCCCCACCACCACAGATCCTGCAGAAGTTCTGGGTAGTGATAGTGGTAGTGTGAGGTTCCCCACTACCTCTGTGAGGAATTCTGGTGTGGCGATGTAAGGTAAGGACTGGACTACTAACCACAAAGTTAGCAAGTCAAACCCACCATCCACTCCACGGGGGAAAGAATTACAGCCTTGGAAACCCTATACAAGATTACTATGAATTAGAACTGAATGTATGGCACTAACAACTTCTTCTTCTAAAACAACAGGAGATCACCTGGCGGATGCTATCCTGCCAAGGAACAGAAAAGCGAGAAGCCTTATGCATGAAAAGTTCATTGTTTAGCAGAGCGACAATGAATGCCCCCCTTGGTTAGCAGAGCTACAAGGGATGATTCATGCAGGGGCCCCGTAGTTTCTAGCTTTCCCTTGGAAAAATAGTTTATTTCTGATTTCCTTATAAGAAGTTTTAGAAAATCTTGCATAATCATTAGATACTTTAAACAAACCTCACGTTATAATAGTTGTCTTTCACATTAACATTAACTTTCACAGCATATTCAATCTTATGTAATTATAAAAATTAATTTTTACATTAACAATAAGTTTTAACATTAGATATAACCACACTAGCTAAGTTTTAGCAATTCAAGCTTAAAATTGTAAGAAACATTCCAGGTGGTTTTAGTCAAGGACATTAAGGCTTTTAGAAAGCAGCTTAGGAGACAGTCAAGGGCAGTGAGAGCTTGGGAACAGAGGTAGGAGTTTGATTAGAAGTTTTGAGAAATTGTTAGCATGAGAGAATTACTGCTTTGTTCTTAACTATGAAACTTTAGGGTACTTTTATGTTCTTGTTTGTATTGTTTGATCAATTATATGTATGACCAGTTATAGTAAAAATTATGTTTTTGATTGTAATCTGTAACTAATGAATCTATAGACAGTAACAGATGTTAGTAAAGTTAAAAATTAAGATGTAGAACTTTATTTTAAATTAACCTGACATTTTAGGGAGGATTAGAGAGAAACAGAGTCGCTCACAGAAGGCAGACGTTATCAGAGTAACTAAGGAATAACTAAGGAGTATAGAGACACAGGAATGTTTGGTGACCTTGTGTTCCTCTTGTACCTTTGATGTAACAATATAATATTTGATTGATTTGTAACTGCTTGGACGTCACTGTTATGAGATCATAGTATATTCTAAAAGGGATATAAGAAGCAACCATTTTGAAATAAAGAGAGTCATCAGAGAGAGTCATCATAACCACCATCTGCCTGAGACTCAAAATGACCCATTGACTCTTTGTGAGTTTTTTTTTTTTTTTTTTTTTTTTTTTTATCATTCAGCCGACTCCACATCCTCCTTTAAGAGTCTCCTGATAATTTGTTGAGGCTTGTTCCCAGTAACCACCATCACCTGTCTGCAATGCTGGCCTCTACATGGACCTCTGCACCTTGCCTCTTTCCACTTTCCCACTTTTCTAACTCTGAAAATGGGCTTCTGTGGTAGGTGATTCTTAGGTCTATAGGCAGTTGAAGCCTGGCCACTTAGGCCAGCAGGAGGCTGCAGAAGTGGCAGAGAGCTTCCTTTGGAAGAAGACATTTCTGAACTCTCCATCTAACCCCTAGAGCCCTGGTAATCACTGTATTTTCATTGTCTGGTCAGTCATGCCTCCTGTATGCCCATCCACCCCCATATTGGCTGTGGGCCTAGCCTGTCTCTTCCATCCATCTTGGATAATGTGAACTGCCTGCAGCCTTGTTTCCTCTCCTCCTCCTCTCTAGCTTTGGCTCCTCATTAATGAGCAAAATAGATTTTGGATAGTACATTTTTTTATATTGTCCTAAATAGGAAATTTCAGACAATAAGATAGTTGATAAGAGAAGAGTAAGTATATTAGAATTTAGATGGATCATAAAGGACAAAGAGAAAAATGGTCAATTTATTCAATCAGGGATTAAGAAATTAGCTAGGAATGAGTCAGCTTCATGGAAAGAACCTAGGTATTTCTAAATAAGTGCTTATGTTTGGGACTTGGAGGGGTGAGTATAATTCTTCTTCTCTCTTTTTTGAGTGTCTTCTGTGACAGGCAGGATAATGATTCCCTAAAATATTCATGCCTTAATGGAGGGAAAATAAGAGAATGTTAGGCTTCATGGCAAAAGCAGATTGCAGCTGCAGATAGATTTAATGTTACTAATCAACTGACCTTGAGATGGAGAGATTATCCTACTTTATATGTGTGTTCTCAGTATAATCACAAGGGTTCTTATAAGTGGAAGAGGAAAGCATAAGAGAGCCAATGTCAGACTGATGTGATATGACAATGATTCATTTAGCCAACACTGGTTTTGAAGGTGAAAGGGGTTCCCCAGCAAAGAAAGTACCTGTAACCTATAGCAGCTGAACAAGACTAGGGAATGGATTCTCCTCTTGCTCTGTGTTGTAGAGTTGGTTCTGACTCATAGTGACCCTGTGTAGTGTTTCTGAGAGTGACTGTTGGTTGAGTTTGAACTGCTGACCTTGTGGTTATGAGTTCCAGTACTTATCCTACAACACTATACCAGAGCTCAAAACTCTAGAGTCTCAAAAGGAACAAAACCTTACAGATGCCTTGACGTTAGTCCATTTCTTATAGAAATGTAGGATTATAAATGTGTTTTATTTAAGCCATTAAATGTTTTTTTTAATTTATTACAACAGCATTAGGAAACAGAATTGGAAGCACGTGTAAATAATGTTTCAAGTATTCATTAGTTCACTAGAATCTTTAAAAAACATGTAAACAAATGGGAATGAATATATTTTCCCCTATAACAAATTTTACTTATAAAGTTATAACAACAGTAACAATGTAAATATGAATGAAGTCCTGGTGTGGTGGTATAAGGTAAGCACTGGATTGTGAACCACAGGGTAAGTGGTTCAAACCCACCAGCCATTCCACAGGCTCACTATGAGTCAGAACTGACTCAATGGTATTTAACAAAATAGAACAACAAAATAGAAATATGAATAGTAGAATTAACGTAAGAATATAAGCATCCATGCCAATTTTAACTCTTATGAGAATTTTGTAGCTTATGTTGTTCCATGGCATCTAGAGAAGAACTGTTGCTTTTGTTTAGTGTCATTGAGTTGATTCTGACTCCTAATGACCCTGTATAGGGTTTCAGAGGAGTGGCTGGTGAGTTTAAACCATCAACCTTGTGGTTTGCAGTCCAGTATTTATATGCTATAATGCCACTACAATTGTCCAATTAAATGACAATAAATCTCACATTAAAGTATAGGGGTATAGTACTGAATTTGTATCCTGGTATCCTCAGGTTTACTACTGTGTAATGACGCACATATGTTCTACTTTTTAAATGTTGCCTATCTATTCTGAATGGATTGATTCATCAGAATTACCTAAGTTGCCCAACTGGACTCAGTGATGTCTTCAAACAATAGAACCAATAGCAAAGTCCTGAGCAAGTTTAGTTCAAAAACAAAGCCTTTCAATTGATGATCTGGAAATATGATTCTCAAACTTTCTTCTGAAATATTTTCCTTTCCAAAAACTTTAATCATTTTTTCTAGTTAAAATGTAAAAACAAGTAACATGTGTCTTAAATAATTTGTTAAATAGGAGAACAAGGGTCTCTGGAAGACAGCAACACACTTGGTTACTAACTGAAAGGTTGGAGGTTCAAGTTCACCCAAATATACCTTGAAAAAAATGCCTGGTGATCAATCTTCTTTCAAAATAATCAGGCATTGAAATCCTATGGAGCATAGTTTTACTCTGACACACAAAGGGTTTCAAAGAATCAAAATTGACTTGATGGCAACTTTGAATATAATGGTTTTGAATAATGTAATTAATTTTCCATTAATTTCTTACTAGACTTTTCAGATAAAGAATATGAAGATTCTGAACTAGTTTCCCATTTGATGCCTGGATCAGAAAAGAGAACTGCTGTCTCCCCATTTGCGTGCCTGTCCAATATCACCGATCAAGATTTATTTGATATTAATGTGGTAAATGATGTATGTTAATTTTAATGTTAAACTTCTGTTTATCCTATCTATTTATTTAAGAAAAGTGATGTTCGCATGATTTTAATACCAGCTAAAGTGTCCACTTGGAATTCTGGTTTGGCACTGTAGGATCAGCACTGGACTGCTAGCTGCAAGTTCAGCAGTTCAAACTCACCAGCCGCTCTTTGGAAACCCTTTACAGGGTCACTATGTGTTGCAATCTACGTGATGTTGCTTAGCAATAACAACAACATGGTCAGTAAAACAAAGCCATATCAATCCTATTCCAGAATAGTAGTGTTCTGCACTTCAGTAATTTTTAAAAACACTTGAGCAGTTTTTAGACATAAGAACAATTGTGAGCATGGTGTTGGAGTGTAAAGTGTTTTCTCAAGTTGTACATAGGTCATTATGAGTTGGAACTAACTTGATAGCAGCTAAAAACTACAATAGTTGCAGTTTTCACTGAAATGGAAAAGAAAAAGAATGTTATTATTGAATTTAATCACCATTAGAAATGATGCTTTACCATGAGAATCACTATACTGTAAGCCCTTGATACTTAAAATGATGACCACAGACCAGCGGTATACATGTCACCTGTAACATGGTTCCCTGTTAGCACCAATTAAAGAGAATTCTCTATTTTAACACCTTTATCTACTTGTATTTGTATGTAATGAATATTTCTTGTGCTGTAACATTATTGAAAGGCCAGCATCTCTGCATTTAAAATACAGAATCCTGAGATTTATCTCAAACCTAATGAATTCAAACTGCATATTAAAGATAGAGAAGCTGTATGATGTTACTTGATGACAACTTATGTTTGTTTTTCCTATTTTTTTTGTTCTCTGAACCATATGACATGCAGAAGAAACTCAGTAAGTATGTATAGATGGATGATACTGTTATAACTTTTGTAGGCTCTAGATTAGTTTTTCAGAAAAATATAAAATAATTTCAAAGTTGTTGAAAAGCCTACTCAACTTTAAATTTCTAAAAACATTAAAAGATAGTTTCCATTACATCAACAATAGTTATAATAATTTAACTATTCACTGTTTTACTGATTTCGTTGGAGCAGTTTTACCAAAGCTTGGAGAAACTTCATGGACTATGTGCATACTAGACAATGATTTATTTAAAATGTATCACTACAACAATAGTGAGGTTGGCCCAGGATTGGGCAGTGTTTCGTTCTGCTGTGCATAAGGTCGCTATGAGTCAGTACCAACTCAATGGCACCAAACAACAACAACAACAATTTATTTTTTTTTCAGTTAGCTGTATATGACTAAGTCAATCAAATCTTATCATAGATTAATGCACATTTAAAAAAAATGCTAATAATGTGAACTTTTTGCCTCTTCTCAGGCTATGTTACAAACAGTTAGTGTGAATGTAAAAGACATTCCTTTCCTTCAGTTGAGTAAATATGATATAAATGGAAGAAAACGTCCATTGAATGGCTATGCACTGAACTTCTACAAACATGGTTCCCTGTTAGCACTGACTGAAGATAATTGGTATGAAACTTTTCTATTGCAACACCTTTATCTACAATATTAATTTAGTGATACACAAGATCTCTGAAAAATCTTAATTTTTAACCATATCACGTTTACTCTCCATAGTCTGTTATTTTATGTATAATCTCACAATAGTAAAATGTTAGTTGCAAAGGATGCCAATATTTCTGCGTAGTTTTCCTATTTCTGGTTTTCTGTGCCTGATCATTCCAGCTAAGCACATTTTAACAATAAGAATGTATTCAAAGGCCAGCATTTCAGTGGTAGTTTATTATTTATCTTACTGTAAGTTGGGAGCACACACACAGAGAACACAAAACCAAAAACTAAATTAATTCCTTTAAATAAATAAAAAAACTGAATTAATTCCCTTAAATATTACTTGTCTCTTTTTCTCTAGGTTAAATATGGGAGATGCCTTTAATTTGATCAGAGATTTGACACTTGTTATCCAATCGATCAGGTATAGTAAACATTTCTGTATTTGAAGATCACATAGCCAGTTAAAATAATAACAGATTAAAATGTTACTCTTTTATAGGATTTCACTAATTGAATTATGTGATGATGAAGATGATAATGTTCTGTTGGCATTTAAACAACTAAGTGAAGCATTCGAGAAAAAATTTTGGAAAAAAGTAAGATAATGATGATGTTGAACTTCACCTGAGTCCTGTGCTTTAAAAACAGAATGGTCACGACATCCTCCCGTCCATTTATATTCCAAGAAATGGCTCACTGTGAAGAACCACCTTTCCCCATATGATTTAGATAAGATTAGAAGATGATCCTTATTTACCTAGGAGAAGGCCTGACACAGACCCTCCAAATTATCATTCTTTGTCTCATAAATGTTTAGCTAAGCTGTTTGTCTTGGTGTGGCAGTCTAAGGTAAGCATTTGACTGCTAACCACAAGCTGGGCAGTTCAAAGCCACCAGCCACTCCTTGGAAATCTTGTACAGGTTAGCTATGAGTCAGAACTGACTCAACAGCACTTAACAACAAGATGTTTCTACTCACTGATTAATCTGGACAGAGCCCCTCTTTAATAGCCCTACTCCAAATCGACTGATCACAAGGAAGAGACATTCTGTAATAAACTGTGGTATCATGTAACCTGTTCATCCCGCTGTCCTTTCTTTTTATAAAAGAAAAACCCTTCTGTGACTGACCGGCCTTTGATATCCTAGCAGATCCTATATTCTCCCTTTTATTAACAATATTTCAATAATACTCTCCCCCATTTCAATAATGTTTTCAAATAAATTTTCTTCTTGTCCAAGTTCAGATCTTGTTTTTATTTGAAACACGTTGTTCTGCCAGAAATTGAGAGACAACCACTTGTCTTTCCGTTTGCCATACTGTGGTAGCTTGCATGTTGGTCTGATGTTAGAGCTATGCCAGGGATATTTTAAATACAACCAAGGTTACCCATGGTGAACGGGATTTAGCAGAGTTTTCAGAGTAAGCTAGACTAGGAAGAAGGATGGGCAAATTACTTCTGAATTTTTACCCACTAAAAACCTTATGAATAGCAACAGAACACTGTCAGATATAGTGGCAAAAAATGAAAATATTATAAATCTGAATATTGTCAGATATAGTACCAGGAGATGACCCCCTCAGGTTGAAAGTCCAGAGCTGTCTTCTAAATGTGGTGTAAATGGAGTAAAGTTTTTAGAACCTTCATTTGCTAATGGGGTGCAACTCAATATGAGGAGAAACAGTTGCAAGCACCCATTACTAACTGAAACCTGGAATGTATGACATATGAATCTAAGAAAACTGGAAGTTGTTAAAATGAAATGGAACACATAAAAATCAATATCTCAGGCATTAGTAAGCTAGAACGTTCTGGTATTGACCATTCTGAATCTGACAAATCATATAGTTTACTATACCAGGAATGACAAATTGAAGTGGATTGGTGTAGCATTAATCATCAAAAAGAATATTT